TTTTTCAGAAAATGAAGTAAAGGGGAAATGAAGTAAAGGTAAAGGGGAACAAGTGGATGCAATATATTTGGCTTTCCAAAAGGGATCTGATAAGTTCCTGCTCTTCTGATGCTGCTTGGCCTGCTGTGTTCATCCAGCGCTACACCTTGTTGTCTCAGATTCTCCAGCATCGGCAGTTCCTACTATCTCTGTAACATCTCCTTTGAAGTCTTTTCTCCAAACCCCCACTCCCAACCCCACCCACTGCCCAGGCCTAGACCCTCTCTCCCAAATTCGTAGCCTGATCCAGCACCTGGGTCCATTGCTTTGTGACTGTGGCTGTAGTCTCTGGGACCATTCAGGTGTGGATGTAACAATGGAAGAAAGAGACAGACAGTAAGGCTGAACTAAGCCAACCCCCTTCACAGCTGGAATAGAACATTGCCAATGTAACCCACTTAATCAGGAAGGGATGTAGACAGACAAAGGCCAATTAGGCTCACATCTGTTATTGGGAAACTGTTGCCATCTATTATAAAGGACATATAGCAGAGCATTTAGAAGTACATTATATAATTAAACATCATCAGAGGGAAATTATGACTGACAATTTTTTTCAGAATTCTTTCAAGAGGCAACAAGAGAGATAGGTAAAGGGGAACAAGTGGATGTAATACATTTGGCTTTCCAAAAGGGATCTGATAAGTTACTACACATAAGGCTGCTTAATAAGATCTGTTGATGGCCAGTTTAACCGAACCCAGGATCAGCTCATTGGCTTGGCCAGCCCACCTCCACATTGGGGTCTAGGATTTCAGGAGTGGAGGCTAAAGTACAATCAGAAATTAAAAAGTGTCATCTTCAAATAATGATAAAAGGAGGTTCTAGATTGACCCAACCCGTGGTTACATGGAACATTGTTTGTCAAGGGAACAAAAATCATACTAAGGCAGTCTGAGTCTGTAAGCCATTTTGACTATCTATAGCACAGGATTGCTGATTTGCGATGTGGTTGTATTGAATGTTTTTTCAATTTTTGGACTGGACTTATGCCAGTTCTATTTCAAACTGATTAGGATTTGAGTACAGAAATCAACTTTTATTTAAGCGAGAGTTTAGCAGCCAGACGTGATGATGGTAAATGAGATGCTCTCTTGTCTGATATCTTTGATAGTTCATTTACAATTAGTTCATTTTCATCAGCAAACAATGCAGAAGTAGTGGTTAATTACTTTATTAAACCAGCATGTCCACATGATTGGCAGATAGTTCTTGTTTGATGTAGAAGGTTTTGTAAATGTGGACCAAATTTTGTAATTGAATGTCATGAATTGACACCTACATTATGGTATGAGGCAGTTCTGTATGTAATAATAAAATTTTCTCATGAACTAACAGTTTCATGATGTCAACACAACAACTGCAGTACCTTCAAGAGGCTGCAGAGATGGTCCCATACTGGGCAAAATACTGAAATATTGAACAGATTAATTGCTTTGATGGGTGAGTTTGGCTTCTGTGTTTCCATGTAAGTCTGATTGTTGATTCTAGAAAGCTAGCTAAACCAGTAATGATCAACATAAGTGAAATAAACACCACGAATCATCTCTCTCTGCATATGAATGCATTAAATCACACATGATTTAGCCTATAATTACAATAGTTTCCACTGCTATAGTGACTGACTTTAAAGCTGGTCATGTCAAGAAGTACAAAGGTCATTTGCCCACAGAATCAATCAGATTTTTTTTGTGAATGGTTCAAGAAGAATTTTTAAATGGTTCCAAAAGCAATTATCTTGAATTTTGGATTAGAACTGATTTTTTTGTCAAATGCTTATTTCACTTTATGAGATTGTAATCTCTTTCAGAAACAAAATAATCGTATCTTTTGTTTGAACATAAGAGCAGGATTAAGCTATCCTTGCCACTACTCTGGAAATGTGTAATCTTTTTAGCATGATATCTACGTCTGACTACCAAAAACAAATGGTTAAAGATGTTTAACCGAATGATGTCAAGACAGTGTGACACCTGTATTCTAGTTTTACAATAAGTCATTTTAAGAGTTTTGAGGTTGGGTAGAGTATTTGTGGATTGGAAGGCAGGGCATTAGAATTTGATGGTTGTAAAATGATTGGTGGGGGGGAGGGGGAGAGTGTGTGGTCCCTTTAAAAGATAATATGCATTTTCTAGGCTTAGAATTTTGTTTTTTAAACGGGCAGCTGCACAGAGAGTTCCTGAAATTGAAACATTTGTATCAGGGGGCTATGTGGTTAGCCACCCAGGCAGTAGTTTGTTTAGTCAACCAGTTTGAATGTCAGCCAATTAATTTAAACCAGGCACTTAGAGACTAAAAACTAGTGTGATAGATCATCAAGGGTAGAAAAGAAGAGGATATATGAAAATCAGTGCGAGGGAAACTGCCATCTAATAGAGTTAACAACCCATCAGCTCTAAAGTGAAAATCACTGGCTCTGACAGAATTCTCTAAGCTCGTAGAATAGCCATCAGCTAACTAAAAGTATAGTGGCACTCATAGCTAATATTCCTGACACAAGAATTCAATGGAGAGCGGCGTTCCTGAACAAGAATTCAGCGGAGAAAGGCGTTTCTGACTGAGGATCAGCAGAGATGGTGTGGAACATTTCGGAAGTCATATCCTGGCCGTAATTTCAAGAGATTAAGTTTTTTTTTATTATTTTGGCATATAAGTGGAACTTATATTTATTGGAATAGCATATCATTAGAGTTTTGTTTTATTCGGGAATAGTTAGTAGTGAAGGGGGAATTGTTCAGTTTGTTAGTAGTTCTGTTAATTTTTTCGCTGTTAGAGTTAGATAAATTGTTGCTTGTTGATTATAGAGTGACTGTCAGGAGTTCATTTCATTTAACTTTCCCATTATAACAGATGGGGGGGGATGAGAGGCAGGTTATACCACTTTTCACACTTCTTTAACAGACTATAACATTTGGTTGTGCAGATCTTGAGTATTGCTGGAACAGAAAGACATATTTTAACATTTAAATTTTAAACCAGGCAAGTTTTTTCAGATGGCTTAGGGTATTGCTGTTAACTGTCAATCATCATTAATTGGTACATTATCTATGGCAATGCCTCTACCAATCAGCATCTACTTACCAACTAATCAATACTCTGCTCTCATCTGTGGTTTTCCCCTTGAGTTGGCATTCTTGCAAGCAAGATGAAAAGGTATCTTTTTTTAGCAATACTCAAATCATTTTAAGATAATCTTGTTTGTCCTTAAATTGAGTAAATTATTACTCAGTACATTAACAGTAAATAGAATATATAACAAGAAAATCTGCTTCCACCTTTCACTGGTGAAAATTCAATATTCATCTCCATTCTACCTTGACATTAAACTGTCACCCTCTATTCTTATAGAGCAAAGAATCACTTCAGTTCTTTGTCAAATGTATTGTTCCTTAATTCAATTACTATTGGCACAAAATCCTATGACACTACAGTCTCCTCCTGGTACCATGCTCTTAGGAGATATTGAAAACTGTGGACTTCCTTTGGATTGGTTGATCATGTGCTTGGTAAAGTGGTTTTCCATTACTTTCATCAGTATGGCTGAACAGGAAACTTCCCCACTCTGATATCAAGCCATATTATCCTACCTCCAGTAGGATTATAACCATCCTTTTTGACCACATTATGAAATGATATTCCCATAGTGACAAAACGCTCAAGTGGGGCTTGAACCCAGAGCTGATGCCTGAGAGGCAACAACATTACCACTGTGCCAGAACTCTTTCCATATTTACATCAGCCAAGTTAGAATGAGAACTGAATTTCTTATGAAAAAAGAAACTAACTTAAATACTAGAAGTGAGAGAAAGAAATGAGTTAGTAGTCCATAGCTGTTGAAACAGACGTTGAAAATTGAAACAGAAGAATTAAATCTCAATTATTGTTCAAACCCCAGTTTATTATGTTTAGATACCTTTGTGTGAAATTGTTTAAAAAATGCATAAATGTATGAACAGCAAAGGTGAAAAAGCAGACTAAACTTTTCTCCCTAGTTAAAACTTATATTAAACATAAATTGGAGAACAGAAGGATATGCCATAGGCGCGCTGTATTTTTTATGTAATTATAAATAAAGCAAAATTAAATCTTATGATCCATTGACGACCCCAACATTAACTTTTTTTCTAAAAAAATCACATTAATCAAATAGTTGGACAGTAAATTCAATAAGTTAATTAATCCAGTTCTGAAATAAATGTTCCTTACATTCTAATACATTGAACAGACCTTCATTTTATGGTCATGCTGGATAAAATTTTTACTTTTGTTTCAATGTATCCACATCCATCTCACCAATATATTGCTGAGGACACAAGAATGACCCTTTGATGTGATAGCTCTTCCAATCTACAGAACAGATGTCTGTCACCTCAACAGAGGAATTGTAAATATTAATTCAATATTAAGTTTCTACAGCTTACTGTGGTACAGGAAATACAATGTTTACCATTGTCTTCCACAATGCCCCCACAGTTTACCTTAACTGCAGTCTCAGAACTCGACTTTTCCATTTCCTACAACAGGCATCCTTTTGTGCAATTGTTGCCAATTTGCACAGTGACTGGTGGAGATTCACCACTGTTGGAGCTGAACTGAGACTGTGTCTCCCTCGTCCAACTTGAAATCCATAAAGAATGACAAGCAAAAAAAGATCGGTTACAAAATTGTGCCCAAGATCTTGAAGCTGATGGACTTAAAATTCAATTATTTATATTATTATTTTAATTCTAATTTCTTGAATTGATAATGGAGTCAAGTGTTATTGGGGTGGCGGGGAAAACAGGGCAGACAGGAAAGTAGAGCTGAGACCATGGTTCGCATCAATCAGGACCTCATCAAATGGCAGAGCTGGTTTGAGGGGCTGAATGGTCTACTCTTTCTAATTTGCATGTTTTTATATGTTTTAGATGAAGCCTATCTGCAGCAACTTGAATAATTGAGTTATATTTCCTTCTAAATAGGAATATTTTGTAATGGAAGCTTTGACCAATTTGTATGCTGGCCAGAATCATACCCAGGAAATGTATCAGAACCCTGCCCTTGGTATCTCCCTTGGATTAAACCAGGTAACCTTCAAGTAAATTGTCCTTGATTTCTGCAAACTTTGTAAATTTGAACTGGCATCTGAGAAGAGTAAATATTTCTGACTTTTATTCCCCTTTGTTTCCCAATGAACTCTATACTAATTGTAGGCAATGTATCTCAAGACAACAAGCTGTTGCTCTTTATCATCAGGCAAGATTCACAAACCAGCTTGCTGATGACTGTCTATTTAATTTTCTCCTGTCTGAGGAAGAGAGTCATGATCTACCTTTAGACGTACCCCCAGAAATGCTCCACAGATCGTGTCTCCAATAGAGCTACCAATCACATTCCCCACCTTATCCTGCCTCGTGTGTAGTTCCCTTGGTTGTTCCCTTTGAGATTTGGTATTCTTACGATTCTGCCCCGATAAATGCAAGATGAAAATATACAAAGCATACAAGGAACAAGATTAGGCCACTCTGCCCTTTAAGCCTATTTTCCATTCAAGATCACAGCAGCTCTGATTTTAACGTCAACTCTACACTTCTGAATGTCTCTGATACATTTTCATTTCCTTGGTCCAACAACATGTCTACTTTCAGCAAGAATCAGATTATGTTGAAGGATTGCTCTGCACGAATGCTCCAAAATTCAGTATCAGTGAACTGAGGAAGGGTCACTGGACCCAAAACTTTAACTCTGTTTTCTCCTTCACAGATGCTGCCAGACCTGCTGAGCTTTTCCAGCAACTTTGTTTTTGAACTGACTGCTTTTATGAGATTGACTGATTGCAGAACTGATTACAACAAAAGACGGCTATAATTTTTTTTCTGTATGCACTGCTGCAAACTGTACACATACTGTGCATGGACTAACAGGAAGTAAATCAACCACAGAATTCTCCATCAGTTATGCTTTGTCCCACTTCCCAGTGCCTGGGCCCAACTGCTTGCACCTCAGATTAACTTTCTGTGTCCCAAATACCAGCAGACTCAGGAAACGTCCTGGCTCCAGATACCCGAGAGTACCCCAGACTGTCAGATTTTCATTCCACTAGTCAGGTGTTAACAAAAATCAAGTCCATCACCCTCAGAAAGAGTTCAGATTCTGTGAAGGGCACTCCTCAGTGATTCCTAATTTCAATACAGCTGTTCAATGACAATAAAAAAGATTAAACTTCCAGCCCTTGTTCCTCAGGTAGGTGATTGCCTAGTGGTGTTATCGCTAGACTATTAATCCAGGGACCCAGAAAATGTTCTGGGGGCCTGGGTTTGAATCCCACCATGGCAGATGATGAAATTTTAAGAGTCTAGTGATGTTGATGAAACCATTATCAATTGTCAGGAAAATCCATTTGGTTCACTAATGCCCTTTAAGGAAGGGAATCTGCCATCCTTACCTCGTCTGACCGACATGTGACTCCAGACCCATTGCAATGCAGTTGACTCTTATCTGTCCTCTGGGCAATTAGAGATGGGCAATAAATGCTGGCCTAGCCAGGGACACCTGCATCCTATGGATGAATAAAAGAAAAGGTCCCCTCACCCCCCATGAAGTCTCAATATCCCTTAACACCAAATCGTACCATCTCCGAGCATTTCCCCCCTTCCCCTCCACCTCCACCGCCTCACACGCTTACACCAACGGACCCTTGTATCCTCCTTGTCAACTTATGGTTCTTTACCCAGTCCAATGGAGCCTCATTCTCTCCATGTCAACCTGTGATCTCCATCACCCTTATATTCCCACTTATAACCTCCATGCCAACTTACACCACTTCACTCAACCTTCAATAATCCCTTGGACCCTTCACCTCTGAACCAATGCCCATGACTCCTCATGCACTCCTCATCAATCTGCCCAATTCTATAGCCTTTATAGTGCCATCTAAACATAGTGCTAACCTATGCACCCTACCCACCATTGACCCACTTTGAAGACTTTATAAGCACTCAGAGCTTTCAAACAGACTGTGAACCGACAGACATCCCAAAATGATAATGTTAAGTCATGAAATCGCCAATTCATTAATGATGACCGACAAGCTTTCAGCAACAAACAGTGTGAACTAGCAAACTGATTCTTTTTAACAGAAGACAGCTTTCTCAAAAATTATAAGGTCATTAGACTTAAGAATCTTCTCTTAAAAACTTGACAATTTCAATGAGTATATCCTTTTGATTATGCACATTCTGTTGAACTAACCCAAAGGTATTTGACTTTTCCTAGAGGGTACATTATATTTTCCAAAGGGCACTTAATCATCTTCGAAATGTATCCCTGCACTTATTCAAAATAGTATGCTAAAAGAGAGAAGGCCAAGTAACCTTTGGGTTAGCTCAACATAAATAAGAATGAACATAAAAAGTGGATAAAGTCATTGAAACCAACACGCTTACAAGACTAGAGTCAAGTTGTCAAGTTATTTAAATCTTCTGGTCTTTCAATTTTTGAGTAACATTCTGAAGTTCAACAAAAAAATCAGTGCTTGTTATTTTCCTGTATCTATTGAAATAAGGCTATGAGTAATCATGAATAACTTCACAACAGAACAGTGTGGTGCCTTCAGTTCAGAATTTGATTGACAGTTTCAAGGGATTATAATGCCGTTAAAGTGAGGAAATGAATATAAGTGCTTGGTTTTATAAGGAATTAGTTGAGGAAACAAATAAAGGAGCAGGTGTTTATTAATGATCATTTATTTGAAATAATTAATTAATAAACACCTAGAACTTTGTCTTATTTCATCTCAGCATTGATCCTGAGGTCTACCATGGGGATACAAGGTGAGTTGGAATGGAGGGTGTAAGGGCACAACATGGTTGGAAGGGTGCATATGTTGAAATAAATTGACGTGATGCCATAGAGAACCATTGGTTTAGGCAGACTGGCTTAGCTCAATAGAGTTCTGGCAGCTTCACCTGAAAAGTCCAAACCCATATACTATGTTTGGGACATGCCCCAAGTGAAAATTGGATCTGACTAAAGACTACTTGACTTTAGCATGCATAGTTGCCTCCGTGAACCACAGAGGTACAAAGTACAAACCATCCTCATTCTCCCTCAGTGAAAATGGCATGTGCCAGATTCAGGTGTAGGACTTGTGGCATTGAAATATAATGCCATTTTCACCAAAGCCAGAGACCCTCTCCATCTTTGAAATCTCCAGACCACAGTAAGGGGAAGTTTTACTTGCAGCAAAGCTATTTTGTCAGTAACATGTACCAAACATCTGAACGAATACAGATGCACATTGAGTGCAAGGCTGTGGCATTCGGTCAGTGGGGAGTTAAGTGACTGGGGAAGAAGGTGTTAGTTTGTGATCAGCCATTAAAGGGTAGAACAGGCTTGACATTCCCCTGCTCTTATATTCTATGAATACATAAAATTGACAGACGGAAAAGGAGTAGTTGGTACATCGAGCCTGCTTTCCTTTGCATGATGACTGGAGCACTAGACTAGATACATCCCAACATCTAACCCACACTATTCCTTCTCTCAAAGCCAAGTAATATCCTGGAAAATAAAGGAGAAATTCCCTGAAAATATGCTCCAGAAAATGTTGTATCCTTTGGGCAATCAGGACTCTCAGGAGTTGGGTCTTCCTTTAAAGCCTTCATACTGTAATGCCTTCTATTCATCAATCATAGAATCCCTACAGTGTGGAAGCGGACTATTTGGCCCATCAAGTCCATACTAACCCTCCAAAAAGCATCCCATTCAGACTCATCCCCCACCTCTATCCTCGTAACCCTGTATTTCCCATGGCTAATCCACCTAGCCTGCACATCTCTGGACACTATGGGCAATTTATCATGACCAATACACCAAGCCTGCACGTTTCTGGACTGTGAGAGGAAACTGGAGCACCCAGAGGAAATATACGTGAAGAATATGCAAACTCCACACAGACAATCACCTGAGGTTGGAATTGAACCAAGGTCCTTGGCATTGTGAGGCGACAGTGCTAACCATTGAGTCACTGTATGGTCCAGATCTTCTGTCTAAAGACTACAAACCCTTAAAGTTCAAATTTGTTGTCTCCAAACTGGTTCACCTCAGTGTCCTTCCTTGCAGGAAGCACAGGAATGGTCTACAGGTATTGCCTAGAAAATGGTAGTTGGATGACAGTCTCGAATTCTACTACAGTCTGGCGGGATCATTCTGAATGCTCTGAAGACAGCCATGATGTCCAGCAGAAGGTAAACCATTGGGATGCTTGTAAATTTTGTTCATTTTGTAAATTGTAAACTTTGCCACAGTAATTCTTGGTTTTTCTAGTCGTCTGGAAATGGAGATTTTTCTCTTTACAGACTCCATCTGAGCACCCTCACGGCCAGACAGTGCTATTGGTTAGTTCAGGATAACTGTATTCCAGAAAGGTTCAGAAAATCTAAAATTCCATTTGGTCTTCATTCTGCCAAAGCATCTGAAAATGTTAATTTTGCCCCAGCATCCTTGTTCAAACAACTAGTGGAGTTCAGGGTGTATTTGCTTAATTTAAAAAAAGAGACTGTTCAAATTTGTTCCAGTCTCTCTCATGAAGTTATTAACTCATCCTATGGACAGTTCTAATGCTGCACTGTTTCCTATATGTTTCTGTCACAGTACTCTTCCATCACAATGTTGTTCATCAGATCTTGGCAGATAAAAAGTACATTAGAAATTTGGAACTCTCTTCTAAATATGGCCACAAATGCTGGATCTGTCATTCATTTTAAAACTGAGGTTTATCAACTTTTGCTTTCCAAATACATTAAAACAATGCTTGCCAGACTATTTTCCAATGAGTCCTTATTTTAATACTTGAATACTAATGTGATTTCACATGCCAACAAAAACAATACAGCAACAAAGCATTGTAGTAACAATCAGTACATAATTATAAAGGCTAGATCTCCTGTTTAAACCAGACTTGTGTGTTAAATTGCACATATTGAACATTTAATGATGACCAACAACTGGCAACTTGGAAGGATAATGAAGCAGACTTAGGAATAGACAAATGAACCTATATTAACAGCTGAGCAGAAAAGCAGGGAGAGACAGAAACATGAGCTGATAACAGCAAGGACACTGCAAGACTCTCTTTCTCTTCCTGACTCTCTCTCTCACTTTCTGTCAACCTCAAAAAGCAGTGCCAGTTACATAAGCAACTTCATTTATTGAAAACTCAGGTCCATAAATTTTGCCACTATGGTACAGAATGAGTCAACAAATAAACAACCGACCTCAGATTTGAAATCTAATACTTCAAAGACTCAATAGACATTTTCATGCAGCCTACTCCTCCTATCCAGACTGGACACTTTCTCTTTTTACAACTTATTAGCTGTGTGTTGTGCATGTGCTTGACATCCCATTTTGATTATTTTCAGGGAGTTAGTATAGTAAAATCCCCTTTCTTTCATTCAAGAACATCTTGTAATTGATTCATTAATTTTGATCTAGTTAATTATATTTTGATTAAATGCTAAATGAAAAATTTGATAGATGGAGAGGATGTGAAAAGGAGGGGAGCCAACTCCCATTCAACAACTGGTTGTAAGACTAACATGGTAGAGATTGTAGATGTCTTTTAATGTTTGAAGTTTCCAAGTTTGCTGTACAGATGTACATTGTTGTACGAAGCAATAATATCTTTATTAGTAAGTACTTTGAAAAACATTTTGTATTTGTCGAATTATAACATGGAAAGGAGTAACTGACATCAGGACAAAGTATTAAATGGCATACACATAATGAACATAATTTTCTGATAGGTGTTTATGAAACAGGATTTATTTGTGCCTAAGGTTCCTGAGTAGATTTGTAGCTCGGGTTGTGGATGCTGTGGTTGGTTCGCTTGCCGAGCTGGATCATAAGTTTGCAGACGTTTCATTACCCTGCTGGGTAACATCACCAGTGCAGCCTCCAATGAAGCGTTGTTCTGTTTTCCTGCTCGTTATTTGAAATCTGGGATCCATTGGAGTTGATTACCTCATTTCTGGATTTTCTTTGAAGTGGTGTGTATAATGTCATCTACATGACCCATACCCACTCATCTCCATACACACAGACGCGGAGAACCACCAGTTCGAATGGGACAACATCAGGATCCTAGGACAGGCCAAACAGAGACAAGCACGGGAATTTCTAGAGGCCTGGTTCTCCACCAAGAAGGCCATCAATAAACACATAGAATTAGACACCACCGCAAAGAAAAACTGGAAATGAGGTCATCAACTCCAACGGACCCCAGAGTTTAAATAACAAGCAGGAAAATGCAACAATGCTTCATCAGAGACTGCACTGATGATGTTATCCAGCAGGGTAATAAAACGTCTGCAAACTAATGAACCAGCTTGGCGAGCGAACCAACCACAGCTTATTTGTGACCACAGTATTCTTCAAAACATCACAAGATGATAGGTTTTTTGATATGTGCTGGGGTAAGGCAAATTCCTTACCACTGTATATTTACCTTATAATTATTCAGGATAATACATCTATAAGAACTATTTCTTGACTTACCTCGTCTCTCTCACTCTTTTCGACTGAATTATGGTATCCTGATTTATGGAAGGAACATTTGCGTCGCACAAATGCTAGCCAAGGCCATACCCAACCAGAGACAAGCTAAACATCTGTCCTTGATTTTCAGTACCATTACCATTCCTAAGTTCCCTACTATCAACAGTCTGGAATGGTCATCTTTGACCAGAAGCTGTGTACCATGTATACCTGAGCAGGCTAGAGTTTGGGTATTGCACAAGGAGGCTCCCTCACTGATTCCTCACAGGCACCACCTCAACTAATGACGAGGACAAGTGCAGCACTTTCATTGGAAAAGATCCACTTACAAGTTCTCCTTCATGTACCACAACATCCTTACTTTGATATATCTTTTGCAGCTTTTTCATGCTCACAGTTTTCAAAATTCTGGAACTTCCCACACAACAACGTTGTAGGAATATCTTCAATGCAGAGACTGCAGTGGTTCAAGAATGGAGTTGACCAATACTTTCTCAATGGTTGGGTACTAAATGCTGATTTTTCCCAGGCTACTGAAAATCAATGTAAAAGTTTGGGTGTTGGCTCTCACTTCAATTTCTCAATAAACAATTTGAAGACAAGGTGTACTCTTCCATAAGTAGGAAGTCGCATTTGTTGTAAGTCAGTTATTCAAGAAAGGGAAGCACAGCTCATCTTCCTCTTAATAATGCCATGTTGTGGTTTTGCTTTGTCATATCTTTGCAGAAAAATCAACATGGGTTACTGAAAGTTCTGCAATTGATCTACACTGTGGGTTACTCTCTCTCATTGGCCTCACTCTCACTGGCTGTGCTGATACTGCTGTGGCTCAGGTTTGTTGTCTGCTCATGTTAAACACTCCTAATATTATTGCTGGAATTAGTGATATTTAATATTATTATAGCTTTATTGTCCTACCTATTGACCCTATTTTATAGGACAAGTCAGGGGCATTCTGAAACCATTGTCCAGCATAAATGAGCAGTACTTTGTGAGATCCCTTGCATCAACTGGTTATGTAAACCCTCCCCCACCCCACCCACAATAAAAACAAAGAACTATGGATGCTGGAAATCAGAAATAAACATAGAAATGGCTGAGAAAACTCAGCCGGTCTGGCAGCATCTGTGGAAAGAAAGCAGAGTTAACGTTTCGGGTCCTATGACCTTTCATCAGAACTACCCCTCCTGTCTAACATATCAATAATACCATGTCTTTCTTAATGGTGTGCTGAACAACGGAATTAATTATTAGTTTGCGTGCTGGAAAAGGTCCAAATGAAAAGACAACAGAGATGACCATGAGGGAAAAGAGGAAATGGTATAAAGCCATAACTTCTTTCTGATAATGGGATAAAACTCCACTGTCTAACAATATAGTTACATTGCTGCTGATCTGGATAATATTGTAATGTGCTTGTAACTACATTGATAGAATTAGAATTAGAATTAGCTTTATTGTCACATGTGCTCACATGAGTACATGTTTATTGTCCCCACTTCGAGTGCCATCAGTGCCACCATTTATAGTACAAAGATACCTAGGTACAGCTTCTTCAGTTGCAAGATTAGTTACAGCGTAACAATGTCACTAACGCATGGTGCCGTCCCAGGTACAGAATACCCTAGGTACAATCCTTTGTTACAGTACAGAGAAATTTTAAAAAAAGTTACATTACAGCTATACACAGTATAACCATAGGTCAGAAAAACAAGAAGCAAAGTTGATCATGTGTTATGCAGCACATATGGAGTAGCCTGAAAATTGTTAGATAAAGTTTCATCAACATGAATTGGGAACCTGAATTCTGTTGTCTAAAACTGACATCTCTGTTCTTAATGAGCTCGTTAAAATACTCATTGTGATGACCAAATCAGAAATATTTTTTGCCCGTCAAATCTATGTACCTCTTTGGTGAAGGGTGTAAACCCGAAGCATCAACTTTCCTGCTCCTCTGATTCTGCCTGACCTGCTGTGCTCCTCCAGCTCCACACTGTATTGACTCTAACACCAGCATCTGCAGTTCTTGCTATCACAAAACTAATCCCATTGTGCTGCTGCCTCCTCTAACTTGCTCTGGTTTAAATATTGATCTTTTTGAATATTGAATGTTAAGTAGTAATCTAATAGCAAAGCATTCTGTTAATCTGCTCTATCTTTCTGAAATTATTGGCAATCTATCTCACATTTACCAAAGCCTCTACTTTTCCTTTTGTAAGATGCAGCTAATTTCTTTACTTAAAGTTGTATGTGAGACATGTTAAAAAAACTTCCTCTGAAAGTCCACTTGTGTGGGGTCGACTGAATCGCTTTCAGCAATCCAGTTTCTTCCACAAATTGCACTAGATTTGTCAAACCAGTCTGTGCTAGCTGCCAATACATCTCCAAATGCTCACTGTGTTGGTCTTCAATTAATGATTTCCACAGTTTGCCACAACCAAACTATGTTTCTGATACTTTTTGAACAAAAATGTTAGATTAGTTAACCTTTGGGTCCCATTCAGTGGATTGAAAAATTGTGGTCATCGATTCTGTTATTTCCACTCTGCCCTCCATTCACAGAATTGTACTTATGCCACCAACATCCAATGACATATTGTCTAAAGGTTTCAGTCAAATTCCTTTTACACAATGACATCCAACAGTGATTATAAGTCCATCTTCCTCTTCCAATTCAATTATATAAACTGATGCATAATATTTTTGTCATGAGGTGGAGGTGCTGGTGTTGGACTGGGGTGGACAATCAGAAGTCACATGACACCAGGTTATAGTCTGACAGATTTATTTGAAATCGCCAGCTTTCGGAGCGCTGCTCCTTCATCAGTTAAAGTCACGCAATATTTATATGTAATCTCAGTCATTAGTTCTGTACCCACAAGTAGATTGCCAATTTATCATCATTTAATCATTCCTTTCGCTGTTAAATGCTAATAAAAACCTATACAATTTTTTTTGGTTCTCTGCTCTATTTTCTAAATTCCTCACAATTTTATTATTGCTAACACCATTTTTTTTTGTTTCACCTAATTTTAATGGGCTAATTCACCTCTGAAGCTCCCTTCTTTGCAGATCCCCCTTTTTATCCAGTAGGTATCTGTTTTACAAGATACCAGTTCATGTTAAATATTCCCTACTGTTGATTCATTATCCACTTTCAATATTTTCTTTCATTAGTTTGAGGCAGATTGCATCTTATCTCTTCAATCTTTGACTTGCCCCAGTCAGTGTCGTAACCTTTGATTCTTCATTGACCATTACTTCTCTTCACACTGACCATGTCCATGTCCCTATTAGTGTTTCTAATCCTTCAAAACTATTTCTTATAGCTTTAGCAGTTTGCCGGAACCAAATAATGCTTCAGCCACTATTGAGGTGAGATATGGAGCTATTATCGCTGGCTTATTAATCCAGAGACCATGGTAATGTTCTGGGGACCTGGGTTCAAATCTTGCCATGGCAGATGGTGGAATTTTAATTCAGTAAAAATCTGGAATTAAAAGTCTAATAATGACCATGAACCGTTGTCAGGAAAAAAAAACCCTCTGGTTCACTAATATCCTTTCAGGAAAGAAACTGCCATCCTTATTTGGTCTGGTCTACGTGTGACTCCAGACCCTCAGCAATGTTGTTGACTCTCACATGCTGTCTGGACAATTAGGAATGGGTAATGAATGTTGGCCTAGACAGTGATGCCCACATCCTCTAAATGAATAAAAAAAACTCTGGACCCCATATGAAACATTGCACATTTTCCTTGTTGATTATGAAATATTATATCTAGGAAAATCCACATATGGGTTCACACAGGATTAGAGGCATCACCACCCCCACAACCTGTTTAAACCTGACTTTGTCTCCAAGTTAAGGCTTGTGTTTGATGGTAGTGAAATGGTTCCAAATATATCCTAATAACAGATCTTTGAACAGAAGCTTTAACAATGCTGTGAGCATTACGTACAACAGCAACTGGGGCCAACAACTTATGTCTATGTCAATGGACCTATTAGTGATCGAGCCCATTAGTAAAATTTAGAAGAAATACGTTGGAAATATTTCTAGGAGAATGCTTGTTTTGCCCGTTTGCATTGGAGCTTCAGTTTGATCCAGATTATGTGGAGTCCAAAGAGAGCCCTGGTAACTGTATTTGGTTTCTTAACCCTGTTTTCTGTAGGAAGCTGCATTGTACTCGAAACTACATCCACATGAATTTATTTGCTTCCTTTATTTTGCGAGCACTGGCTGTCCTCGTAAAAGATATGTTCCTGAATAATACTTACTCCAAACGCCCAGAAGATGAAATGGGATGGAAGACCTTTTTTGACACAGAGGTATATTTGATATCCTATATAGAGTTATAGAGTTATAGACTAATACAGCATGGAAACAGGCCCTTTGGCCCAAACTGGTCCATGCTGTCCATGGTGCCCAATCAGCTAGTTCTCTTTTGTGACAGAGCTTTAAACCATCTTAGAGCAAATATATCACTGTCATGAGTGTATGACTCTCCATTGTTGTCAGCAACACATCTCTTCCTCTCTATTTGTCCTCTCTTTTTATCTGTACAATTACCTCTTTTAGATCATTTAATGTTCCAAGTGAGTCCAAGTGATTTTGAAATGAATGATTCTGCAACCAATGGGTGATATTTGGATCCCGTGATTGATCTTAAAACAGTTATATAGAGAATACTATTTTCCCAAGATAAGGTTATCTAATGACTCAATCACTTGAGGACAGTAACTGTTGCTCCCCATTAGCAATAAACAATGTAAGCATATCTGTAGGTTTTTCATATGGTCTTGCCTTGCATCGTAAACAAGATACAATCATAGCATTTGTTATGATATTGAACCATGAGAATCTAAATGTTTCAGTCCTTTACTGCTAATATATTCCATCCTTCAAGAACATTTTTTTTATTATTAATTCAGCGAATATGGGCTTCTCTGGCTGGGCTAGGACACAGTGCCATCCCTAAGTGCCTTTGAAAAGGTGGTGGTGAGCTACCTTCTTGAAACACTGCGGTTCATTGTGTGTAGGTGCACCATAATGCTACTAGAGAGGTAGTTCCAGGATTCTGATGCTGTGAGAATAAATGAATGATGATATATTTCCAACACAGGATGGTGATTGGGTTTGGGAGGAAATTGCAGGTTGTAATGTCCCCACGCATTATTGATCAAGGTGGTAATGGCTGTAGGTTTGGAAGGTGTTGTCTAAGGAGCCTTGGTGAATTTCTGGAGTGCATCTGATTGATGGGACATACTGTTGCTTCTGTGCATCATTGGTAGGGGAACTGAATGGTTGTGGATGTGCTGTCAACTAAGTGGGTTGCTTTGTCCTGGATAATGTCAAGCTTCTTGAGTGTTGTAGGAGCTGCACCCATCCAGACAAGGGGGGTGGTATTCCATCATACTCCTGAGCTGAGACTAAAAGATGGTAGTCACAGTCTGGGGAGTCAAGAATTGAGTTACTCACTGCATTTGTTAAAACAAAACACGAAAGAGGACAGCAATGTTGTGATTAAGAGCTGTGCAATTTGCTGTCTGTCTAGATCAAAAATTCTATATAACCTGTAGCATTTTATCCCTGATACTTGGAGTCACCGAACCATTATCCTTTCTGTTCATAGGTTTTCTCTGGGTTTGAGCCTAACATGAAAAGCTAAATACCTTGACAGCACTATTAGAATTCTGTTGTACTACAGGAAGATCATATCAGCATGATAGCACAATCACTGAGTTTCTGGAGAATTTGTTCAGCCAAAAGTTACTACTCTAGTGTTCTCATAAATAAAGCGAGCCAGTACAGAAACATCAGCAAAATGAATCTGATGTTTTACTATCCGCTCTAAAAGGCATTCAAGTAGTTATTGACAAAGCGTGGACTTTCTCTCTTGGCAGGTTTCAAATGGATGTAAGATGGCACAGGTTTTCATGCACTACTTTGTTGGAGCCAACTTTTTCTGGCTTTTGGTGGAAGGAATTTATCTTCATAAAATGATCGTCCTTGCTGTCCTTTCAGAGAAAAGACTGTTAAAACAATATGTCCTGATAGGATGGGGTAAGTGAATCAAAAGTTCAAAATGTTCTTCACTGTTTTAAAAGGTAATCTTTTTGTTTTTGATGGCTGTGTATATTTATTAACTGCAGCTGAACATTCAGGAAAAGACAACTGACCCTATTCCCAACCCTTTAATCTCATAGGTGTGGATAAATGTTAAGAACTGCTGAAAAATACATCAGCATGGCAAAGTTTTATACTTGTCTTAGTGGTAGACCTCTGGTTAAATGATTGACTGTCCAAGTCCACTCCCGAGAATGGAGCATTAGGTCTAGGCTCTCACTGCAGCATTCTGAAGTTTTGGAAGTTGATACTTTAGATGAGGCACCACTTGCTTTCTTGCAAATGAGGGACCCCAGTGACAAATGTAATAGATCCAGAGACACTGTTTTAAGGAAGAGCAGGAGAGTTGTCCACTGAATCCTGTCCAGTCGGTATCTCTCAACAGTAAGACTGAAACTGGTAACATGGTCATTATTTTGCTGCTTTTTCTGGGACCTCACTGTGAATTAGCTGTCATAACAACAGTGACTACATCTTCTGAAGTACTTAACAGGCTACATTGTGCCAGTGATGCCCCAGAATCATGAAAAACAAGACATCAAGGAACATACTTTATCTTTACTTCTAATGTTTGATTATTCCTGCATCCCCACAGGAAAAAAAAAGCTTGACCACCCTGACAGCTTCTGGACCTCATTCCAAATCAAGTGATAATCTTGTCACAATGGATATTCTAGTATTGGTTTATGATCTCATTTTGAACATTGCCAAACTTCTCCACCAATTTACTACTGCATGCTGCAAATGCTACTTCTCTTCCTATTTTGAGTACATCTCTCCATTTCTCTCTTCATTTCTGTTCAATCACGATGCTTGTTGTTTTGTCTCTCATGTATCCACACCCTTCATACCCACCCCATCCCACCCTCAATTCTACTGCAGCCCACCAAAGCTCTAACAGAGGAAGCCCAAGCTATGGAGCATAGGCTACATAAGACTAGGCTATTCAGCCTAATTTGTATTAGTATTTCATTTATGCAACGTTTTCTTGTTTAAATTTTGAAGGTTTTTGAAAGGGTTGCTCCTAATCCTGGGAGTTATTAAGAACTGCCGATGCTGGAGTCAGAGGTAACACAGTTAGGAGCTGGAGGAACACAGCAGGCCAGGCAGCATCAGAGGAGAAGGAAAGCTGATGTTTAGGGTTGGGACCCTTCTTCAGAAATGGGGGAGGGGGAAGGGAGCTCTGAAATAAATAAAGAGAGGAGGGGTGGGGCTGGGGAAGGTAGGTGGGATGGCGATAGATGAATGTAGGTAGGCAGTGGTGGGGATTGGTCAGTGAGGCCCATGGGAGGAGCAGATAAGTAGGAGAGAAGACGGACAGGTCAAGGAGGCAAGGATGAGGAGGAGAGATGGCCGTGGGATGAAGCTGGGGCTGGGGAGATTTTGAAACTAGTAAAGTCCACATTGAGACTGTTGGTTTGTAGGCTCCCAAGGCGGAATATGATCCTAATCCTGATGTTTTTTGTCCGTTAATCTTCTATCAGAGTAGCAATGTTTGTTAGTACCTACAAGCTGAAACAAATACAGATTGAATTTAATTTAGACAAGGATCTCCATAGGTGGCATCTGTTCCATCTTGTTTTATGTCATCAACAAACTTGTAGATATTACGTTTGGTCCCTACATTCAAAACATTGAAAAATGTTGTGAAAAGCTAAGGCCCAAGCAGTAATCCTTGCAGCCTTTTCTTTTGACCTAATGCAGTCTATAATTTCTTTTATTAGCCATGGTTGACTCACATTTTCTGTTGAACATTTTTGTGCCACAAATTAGGTACATTCACTTCTGTATCATTCTTTGATACATTTCTTGTGTTCCATGTATTAACTTTTAAATACTAGCTATTGCCTGTCTATAGCTATACCTTTCATTGCAGTTTCCCTATCTACTGTAGCCACCTTTCCCATCATACCTTTCTAGTTTCCTTTGTTTAGAATTAAGATCCTAGTTGGTTCCTCAACATACTATTTGAGACAGCAATGGTATATACATTCTAGAAATTCATCCTCTACAAAATTGAGCTAATTATGTTTATCCAATCTATAATCAGTCAAAATCCAGTTTAAATTCACCAACAATCCTCATACAACACCTTCCAAACCCATGATCACTTCTATCTAGAAAGACAAGGGCACAGAAACATGGGAACACTACCACCTCTAGGCTACTCACTATTGCGACTTGGAAATATATCGCTGTTCCTTCACTGTCACTGGGTCAACATCTTGGAACTCCCTCCCTAAAGGCATTGTGGGTTAACCCACAGCAGGTGGACTGCAGCAGTTCTAGAAGGCAGCTCAGCACCACCTTCTCAAGGGCAATTAGGGATGGACAATAAATGCTCGCCAGCCAGTGATGCCTATGTACCATGAGTGAATACAAAAAATTCAGTTGATGTCCCCTAATATTATTGTATTACCCTTGCAATATGCATCTCTAATTTCCTGATTTCTATTGCACCCTGAATTGACACAACTGGTGGTAGTCTATAAATAACTCCCACCATCATTTAGTACTTTGTGCTGTCTCTCAGCTCTGACTCTACTTTTTGATTTTCAGAACTAAGATCTTCTCTCACTAATGCATTCACTAATGTTCCCAGTGTGGTCTCCTCTACACTGGGGAGACAATGCGTAAACTGGCTGACTGCTTTGCAATTCATCTATGTCCTGTCCATATAAATAACCCTGAGCTTCCAGTCACTTGCCACTTCAACACACCACCGTGTTCCCACGCCAACATTTTTGTCTTGGCCCTGCTGTAGTGTTATGGTGAGCCTTAGCGCAAGCTCGAAGCACAGCATTTCATTTGCCCCTTGGGAACCCTGCAGCTTTGCTGACACAACATTGAGTTCAATAACTTTAGAGCCTCATGCTACCCTTCCATGTTTTTTACCCACAGCACACTGATCAGATCCAGTTGGTGTCTTTAGATCTGTCTTTTGTAACATTTAATTGAGAAGGGTTATTTGAAAAGCATTCCTGAATTGGAATGCCCCCAAAAAGGTACTAGAATGATACACAGCACAATTTAAGCTTTATATATTTGTGATTAATTCACTTCATGGCATTGACCACCCTATTTTTGTAACCTTTCAGCTCTTCTTTCTCCAATTCTCAAGCTCTGACTTCTTGTGCATTGCCCATTTCTTTCAGCATTTGTGTCGATATCATTTAGGCCTTACACTTTGAAGAGAAAAGCCTTTGCATTTCCTTCTCCTCTTTGAAAAGCTCCTTTAAACTTATCACCTTGACCAAGATTTAATGACTTGTCCTAATATTTCCCTTTTTAGCTCCCTGTCAGTTTTTGTCTGATGATGTTTCTGTGTACCGCATAATTTCTCGCATTGATGTTGCAATATAAATGTAGATTGCTTTTCAATTCCCAAGCTGTCCTGTGCTCTGTTTATAAGACCATAAGATGTACAAGCAGAAGTAGGCCATTCAGCCCATTGAGTCTACTCTGTCATTCAATGAGGTCATAGCTGATCTCATAATCCTCAAGTCCACATTCCTGCCTTTTCCCCATAACCCTTGATTCCCTCACTGATTAAAAAGTTGTCTTTGTCAACCTTGAAAATACTTAACAACACAGCCTCCACAGCCCTTTACTTCTGGAGTATTCAGCATGGATTTCTTGGAAAGGAAAAATTGCTTTTCCATCTATTGACTTATAAGAAATGATGGAAAAGGTCAGTTGTGATTTTTGGAATGGCAAGGTAGCTGTGTGTTTTGATGGTGTAATAAATTTTGGAGGTTGGGATGACTTTGACTGGTAATATATTGAAGTATCTTCAAACTATGTTTTTCATTAATAAGATTATCACAGTGCAGAACCTCAAGAGTAGGAGAAACTCAATTGAAAACTCTATTAAGTCGTTCAAAGTGTGGAAGTGTAAGTGGAATAGGTTCGGACTTCCAGGTGCTTCTTTACCTCCCCAAGGGCCTGTAAGAAACCCCAGTTGGGAGGGCGGTGAGGTTCACATTTCTCTTAAGGTGTAACAGCGATGCCATTTCCACCTGTAACCTGAGAATAGCAACTTGGTGCTGCTGTGGCATTCTGAGGGGCTGAGCTTTCCCGTTTCACTTGGAGCTATTACTTGAGTTCTCCAGTCTCCAGAAGGATACCTTTAATGCATCCACTGGATAAAATTGTCATAGTTGCCTTACTCCATCTGAGTCTCCACACAAGGCTCTGAGTAGCATTCTTCCACAGCTCAAGGGCATGTCTTGATGTGAATCAACAATGAACTTCTTTCTCTTTCAGTGTGCCCACTATTCTTTGTTATACCTTGGACAATTTCAAAGGTTATCTATGAGAATGAATGGTAAGATTTACTAAAAAGTAAATTAATTCCTTTATAACACTATTAATAATTGGATTAGTGTATTGTTTTATATTCTTGAAACATAATGAATCACCAAACAATCTCTCAGACTCCTCAATAAAATACAAGAAATGTTTCTAAACTGATCAATGATCCCTCTCTCCCATTAGTCTTTCACTTTCACTTCATTGCAAATGTTGATGTCTCTCTTAATTTTATAAATAATGCAGTTATCAGTATCCTTTGGCACATTTCTTTCTTTCTCCTGCTGGTGTTTCACTTAAGGCCACAGTTACATCCAACTGATAATAACTTGGTTTCAATGCCTTCCTGTTACCAACATGCTCACTCCAATGAAATCAAGGTTCCTTGCACAATCTCCTTGGCATTTTCCTGGTATTCTTCACCATCTTGAGTTTTCTGGTCCTCCCACAAACTTCAGCCTTTGAAATTAAAGTTTGGCTTTGCCGAATTGCTTACCCAGCCTTATCTATCACACTTTCCAATCTTTACATATTGTCTTTAATCTTCCTTAAGCTGAGAAATATGTTAGAATCATTTTTTAAAAAGGCACAAAAAGAGGCCAGTTAGCCTATCATGTCTGTGCCAGTCCTAAAACAAAAGGGCACTGTAAGAATTCATAGTTATGTTTCTATGCTGACCTGGTAAGCATTGGTAAATGTGAGAAAGTTGGCTATATGATTTGAGTGAAGTTATTGATAGTCTCATCTGGAAAAATTACCTGCCAAGCCATTTCTAGGTGCACCATGATCGCAGTGGCAACTGGAAGGTACATTTTGGGTTGATTCCCTGCCATTCCTGATGCCAGGGAATGTAAAACAGGCAATCTGGTGGATCATCAGGGGGCCGGTGATATTTGCAATAATAGTGAGTATTGAAACATGTGGATCTTTCCAGCCATTTTTAATTGGCCATAATTGTGGCCTTCTAAACTTTCAGTGCAAGGTGTTGTTTCAATAATTAAAAGTATAAAATATTGTAAATATTCAACAGGTCTGCAAAAATCGTTCAAAGTGAAATAAATTTAATGCTTCAGGTTAATGGCCTCTTCCCATTCTGTTTCTTTCTCCCAGGATACTGTCAGATCTGCTGAACATTTTCCAGTATTTTTCTATTCTTATTTCACATTTCTGTCTTTGATACTTGTCGCTGTTTACAGTTTCTTTTATTCACTCATGGGACATGGGTGCTGTTGGCTGGCCAGCATTTATTGTCCGTCCCTACTTTCCCCTTGCGAAGGTAGTGGTGAGCTGCCTTCTTGAACCCCTACAGTCCATATGCTAGAGGTAGACCCACAATGCCCTTAGGGTGGGCATTCTAGGATTTTGACCCAGTGACAATAAGGGAATGGCGACATATTTCCAAGTCAGGATCAGCAGTAAATCTTGTAGATAGTACACACTGCTGCTACTGAGCGTCGGTGGTGGAGGGAGTGGATGCTTGCGGATGTGGTGCCAATCAATGGGGCTGCTTTGTCCTGGATGGTGTCAAGCCTCTTGCATGTTGCTGGAGCTGCACCCATCCAGGCAAGTTAGAATAACAATTGCAAAAAAGTGCATTATTTTTCAATTCTGAGAAATTAATATTTAAAAAGAAATAATGACTTACAGAAGTGTTTTTGTGCATCAGGTGCTGGGGGACAAACAAACACATGGCAATCTGGTGGATCATCAGGGGGCCGGTGATATTTGCAATAATAGTGAGTATTGAAGGTAGCTTTCTATTGGTATATATGTAAGTAAAATTGTCATTAAACAATTTAATTCTCATCTCTATCCTATAATTTCATATCCTGTTCAATGACCTATCTCGCTTATGCTTTAGAAATGTTGTATATGGTGTTTACTGATAATAATAGGTCTGGAGTCCAATGCTTTACACAAATAGCGTATATACTCGTGTAAAAGTCGAATTTTTTAGTCTGCTTTTTTTTTAAATTTATGGGGTTGACTATTACACGGACACTAATTTTGAGGGGCTGAAATTCATACTACAGTCCAAAAAACCATATCATTAGCAGAAGCCCAATTGATCTCTAAACGAATAAAGAAAAAAAACACAATGAATTACGGTAATTACCGGATGAAGATAATAGAAATAGAAATGAATCAGTAAACTTTTATTTATGCATACAAAAAGTGAAAGAGAAATATAATATGGCTGTAAATTACAATTACATGGTACATCTTAATTTAAACAAATTAAAAATAATTAACACCTTAAAATTAGCCTGCCTTCTGCCAATTTCTGATTACAAACTGTTGAAACTGTAATGTCTTATCTTCTAGTTCAGCAGGTAGCTTTTGTGCAGTCTTAGTTCTCTGACAAAGTGCTAAGCTGTGCCTTCTAATGAACGTTGTGCATCACCTAGCACTTGCCTTAAAATCCAAAATTCCATCCTTCTTTAATTCGTTTCATGCATGGATTCGGATGACTTCACAATTAACACACCTTCCATTTTGACGATTTTCAAGTACCCACTCAGCAACTTTTTTCTCCAGTTGTGGCCACTCGCTGGGTTTACCTCTGTTGGCATGCTTTTCGTTTTGGCATTATCTGAAGTTGGTTTAATATCTTTCACCAGTCTCTCACAAGTTTCTCCAAAACTCAAATTCTCTTGCTGCCACACAGTTATTTGTCTTCTCTGCAACTTCAATTACTTTCAGTTTAAACGTTGCTGTATATGTTTTGTCTTTTTTCTGGAGGGCATTTTTACATAAAATGATGAAGAAATTTCAAAACTTCACCGAGGTATATTACTGTACTCCACGAATGCTACAGGGAAACTGAACTCACCTGAGCTGCACACAAAGGGAGGTTGTCACCTGACTCTGATCTGATGTGTCTTAAACTTTTGCACCAGATTGGTGTGAATTGTACATCAAAACACATAATAGCACAAAAAAATCATTTTCTCGTCATAACATTTATGTACAGGATAATACCTTGACTCACAAATGTTGATCTGGTATCTGTGAAGAATTAAGGTCAACATTTACACGAGATATCTGGAAAATTCCAGATTTTTTGGCCAAAAATAGGGAGGCAACTTTTACATGAGATCGACTTTTACTTGAGTATATACGGTAATTAAACCACAGTGTCATGCTTTAGTTAATCATTAAAAGACTTTACCACTCTTTTGCATACAAACATATCTAATAGTCAATTCCAAAAACACACAGAAACATAGGCCCAGATTTTCCCAGAGCCAGACAGTTGTTGTTCCTGTGTGGATAGGAGTTGCTCTGTCGGAATTTGCAGAATCCCATTGTAGCAGACTCTTAAGGAATGGTGAGAGAGATTGCAGATTGTTGCTGGAAAATTTCCTAACACTTGGAACACTCTGAAAGTATCTGTTTAATTCTGCCAATTCAGACAATTCTGACTAATTTAAGTGAGTAGTTTCTCAAGGGAGGGTGGCACAGTGGCTCAGTGATTGAGGGTGGCACGGTGGTTAGCAATGCTGCCTCACAGCGCCAGGGACCCGGGTTCAATTCCACCCTCGGGAGACTGTCTGTGTGGGGGTTGCACATTCTCCCTGTGTCTGCGTGGATTTCCATCAGGTGCTCTGGTTTCCTCCCACAGTCCAAAGATGTACAGGTTAGCTGGATTGACCATGCTAAATTGCCCTGTAGTGTCCAAGGATGTGCAGGTTAGGTGGGTTAGCCATGGGAAACGTGGGATTATGGAGATAAGATGAGAGTCAGGGCGGAATGCTCTTCAGAGGGTTGGTGCAGACTGAATGGGCCGAATGGCCTCTCTGAACTGTAGGGATTCTATGATTCTATAAAAGTCATACAATGAAATGCATTGTCTAATTCCTGAACATCCCCCCGCCCCAGTTCTTGACTCACATACCTCTCAGTACACTTTTCCCAGACTACCCCCAGGTCATTGACCTAACATTGCCATCTCTTTCCCCAGAAACCTCAATCCCCTAGCACATCATTAACCCTGCTCCAAACGAACTCTCCAGTTCCCTGGCTTTGGACGCCACTTCCCACTTACCCTGCTCCAGACCCCTTATCCCACTTCACCCTCTCTCTATCTGTCCCCTTTCTTCCTCCACTGCAGACACCACGTTCCTCTGTCCCCCAGTGCCCCCACTCTGGGCCCAATGCCCCACCTCACCAGCCCACTTCACTACTTCAGACCCCATTCTGTCTTCCTTGTGCTTGCCACCAACCCCCTCACCCCACAACCAGGGACCCAGTCCCTCCTCCCGCTCCAAATCCACTGCCACCCATACCCCACACCAGATCTGATCTTCCACCACTGAGTCAACTTCTATCCTGCACCCAGAATGCAACAGCATCCCATATACTTGTGCCCTTTGCCACCTTACATCCTAAAGCACCCCCAGCACCCTACCCCTACCCACTTGGCATCCTTTCCACCTATCACACGACCCCCCAGGGAATCTAACCCCAACTGAATGAGCTGCCAGAGGAAGTGGTGGAGGCTCATACAATTACAGCATTTAAAAGGTATCTGGATGAGTATATGAATAGGAAGTGCCTAAAAGAATATGGGCCAAATGCTGGCAAATGGGACTAGATTAATGTAGAATATCTGTTTGGCATGGACAAGTTGGACCAAAGGGTCTGTTTACATGTTGTACATCTTTATGGCTTATGATTTTACTTGACTTCTTACCCACCTGGCATTTCCCCCTTACGTATTTGGCACCCTACATCCTTAACCTCCTGGAACCCTAACCTCTCATTTACCTTATGTACTGACTGTTTGACAGCACCTGTCAAAGTGGTTCTCTGTGATCCTGGACCTTTGATTTTCAAAATATGACAACTGCCTGCTTTGAAAAGTTGGTGAGTTACATGAGTACATTGAACAGTGTCCAACTTGGCTTCACAGTGAGTGCCGTCACTCCTGAATCAAAAGCCAATTTTTGATATAAGGCAGGCCACATTCTCGGTCTGTCCATACTTTTGGATTTGATGTAAGCTACACAAAGAGGAAAATATTTTCCCAATATCACAACCAAAATTCTTCCCTTACCATTCACCATAACCTAAGCAAATTTATTTCCATACTAAACGGATATAGTAATAATAGGTACAAGCAATTAATTGTATTTTCAATGTGTCTTTATTCTCTCCTGCAGATGAACTTCTATATCTTCATAAAAATTTTGAAGATGTTGCTTTCAAAACTTAAAGCCCAACAAATGAGATTCAGTGACTACAAATACAGGTCTGTATCTTACTCTTAACACAAAGTTTTAATGTTTTGGAGGAGATTTGTAGCTCGGGTTGTGGGTGTTGAGGTTGGTTGGCTCGCCGAGCTGGTTTCTTGTTCCGCAGACGTTTCGTTACCAGGCTTGGTAACATCCTCAGTGCAGCCTCCAATGAAATGTCAGTGTGTTTTCCTGCCTGGTTTTAAAACTCTGGGGTCCGTTGGGATGGATTGCCTCATTTCCGTTTTTCCTTCGTAGTGGAATGTATATGGGGTCGAGTCCAATGTGTTTATTAATAGCATCCTTCGTGGAGTGCCATGCTTCTAGGAATTCTTGTGCTTGTCTCTGCCTAGCCTGTCCCAGGATCTTGGTGTTGTCCCAGTTGAAGTGGTGGTTCTCCTTGTCCATTGGGGTTGTGCTCTTGCTCCAGTAGTGTTGTCATTGTTCCCTTTGCTCGGGAAACGACCCCAAGAGAATGACCCCAGCGAAACCACCTACAAGGACAACATGCTCAAACTATTGGACCTATGCCTCACCACACATTTCACTTTCAACGGCCAAACATATGAGCAAATCAATGGGACACCCATGGGATCACCTATCTCTGGACTCATAGCAGAAGCAGTGATGCAAAGACTTGAAAGGACTGCCCTTCTGCACATCCAACTAAAACTGTGGATACGCTACATAGACAACACCTTTGTCATCATTAAACGGACCAAACTAGAGGAGACACACAAACTTATAAACAACACCCTCACCGGAATAAAATTCACCAGAGAGGAGGAGAAGAGCAAACAGCTCCCATTCCTGGACGTCATGGTAGAGCGCAAGACAAATGGGGAACTGCAAACGAAAGTACACAGAAAAGCCACACACACAGACCAGGTACTGAACTTCAACAGTAACCATCCCAGCTCACACAAACGAAGCTGCGTGCGAACACTATTTAAAAGGGCAACAACACACTGCAGCAACACGGAACTACGCCAAGAGGAGGAGGAATACCTCTTCCAAGTGTTCAAGGATAATGGATATCCAAAGAACTGGGTCAGAAGATGCCTACAGGAACAGCATCAGAAAGAGACTACGCGCCCCAACACACTCATCACACTACCCTACATCAGGAACACATCAGAACTCACCACAAGACTCTATGACCGCTGGGCATCAGAGTGGCACACAAACCCACATCAACCCTACGACAACTGCTCACCCGAACTAAAGACCCACTCCCCGCCATGGACAGGACCAATGTCATCTACAAGATCCCCTGCAGAGACTGCGAGAAACACTACATCGGACAAACAGGAAGGAAACTAACAACAAGAGTACATGAACACCAACTGGCTACAAAAAGGCACGACCAATACTCACTCATCTCAATCCATATGGACAAGGAGAACCACCACTTCGACTGGGACAACACCAAGATCCTGGGACAGCCTAGGCAGAGACAAGCACGAGAATTCCTAGAAGGATGGCACTCCACGAAGCAGCTATTAATAAACACATTGAACTCGACCCCATAAAAAAACCAGAAGTGAGGCAATCCATCTCAATGGACCCAAGAGTTTAAAAACCAGGCGGGTAAACACACCGACGCTTCATCAGAGGCTGGACTGAGGATGTTACCAAGCAGGGTAATGAAACGTCTGCAAAACAAGAAACCAGCTCAGCAAGCAACCAACCTCAACAACCTCAACAAGGTTTTAATGTGGGTTATTGGTCTTTATAATAGATTGGTAGGTGGGAAATGGGTCTTGTGAAGCAGTGGTAGTATCTCTATCTCTGTGCTAGATGATTTATGTTTAATTCCCATCTCAGGACTTGATGGACGCATGAATATCCTAAACAGACTCATTATCAGTCTGTACATCCTTCCAATATACTTATGGCAGGTAACAAAGTGGGCAAGGTTTTTGGTTGTCTTGTTGCAGACTGACACAAGCTATAGCCCATGACAACAGGCTATCAGTTTCCTGTCCCAGGAAAATCTTGCTTTTGAATCAGGAAAACAGCACATTCTTTCCCTACCTCATGTGTCACTCTAGGTATGAGCAAAAAAGGTAGGTAATGAACTATTGTCCATAAGCAAGCATGATTGTCTCTCTATCACAGTCAATTGGTTATATAACCTGAGGGTCTCCATTCCACATCAACAACGGGACAGATGAAGGAACAAGTTTCAAGTCTACCTCAGCCGTAATGTGAATTGAACTTGAACTGTTGGCATTCTTCCGAACCATGGGCCCAATTGAACTAATTGCCCCACGTGTTTATAATAGAAACTAAGATATACTTACCAAAACAGAAAACTCAAGGATTCTTGACAGAAGTATTAACTTTCACTAGATGTGATAACTCAGGAAGCCTGACTGGAAAGGAACATCATTTGTGGTTGAACACCAAAATAAAGCCACTGCTCTTAGCGTCCAAAGGCTAGTCGCCACCCAGGTCAGACAGTTCTGCAGACCCAACCTGGGTGTGCCATATGGGTTCTTAATAGGCAGACCATTGCCTGGTACCAAGGGACCTCATACTCAACATGTTCTCCAAGGAGATTAATTAGTGATTCCCCATGGGCCTTGGAGGGGTCATCGTAGTGGTTTATGGTTCTCCAAGCAGTTGCTACTCACCAATATCATAACAGCAAGCCCAGCTTTCATCTCTCTATATTACTGCACAGACTATTAGGAGCACATTCACCTCAGGTCTTGCCTCCTACCAGTTCCTTCTCTAACCTGACCAAGTGTTGTGTACAGGCCTCAATCATGTGTTAATCTGTAAGATTCATATGCACAAGTGTCAGAAACAGAGCGGATCAACTAAGATGCTCTGTTTCATCATGATTGTGTTTTTGCTGTTTTTACACTCCCTGGCCAGGTTACCAACTGTATAGATGAGGTTGTTACAGTCGATGTAATCTCTATGGATTTCAGCAAAGTCTTTAACAAAATCTCTCACAGGAGACTGATAAAGAAGGTGTAAAAGTTCATGGGATCCAGGGTAACTGTTATTGACCCTTCACTTTATCATGTGTATTGATAAAGTGAAAGATAGGAGGTTTAGAGAGGATTTGATGAAAATATTTTTCACTCAGGTGGTGGTGGATATCTGGAATGCACTGTCTGGGAGGGTAGTTGATGTGGGAAACCTCACTACCTTTAAGAAAGTACTTTGATTTGGTTGGATTTGATTTATTATTGTCAAATGTACTTAGATACAGTGAAAAGTTTTGTTTTGTGTGCAGAGCATACCATACAAAGTGCATTAGGGGTAATAGAACAGAGCGAACAATACAATGTTACAGCTGCAGAGGAGGTTCACAAAGAGCAAGATCAACAATAAATTTAAAATTTGAGAGGTCCAATCAGAAGTCTAATAACAATGTTCTTGAATCTGTTGGTACATGTGTTTAAGCTTTGGTATCTTCTGCCCAATGGAAGAGGTTGGAAGAGATTATAACCGGGGTGGGAGGAGAACATTCAAGGTTATAGGCCTAGTGCTGGAGAGTGGGACTAGTGTAGATTTGATATAGCTTTGGTGGTACTGACATGATGGGCCAAAGGGCGGTATGATTTTATGTTACTTGTCTGAAAGGTAAAATGTTTAAACAGTGGGTTGTGGCATGACTGATGAGAGATAGCCAGGATGCGAGAGGGTTAAGTATTGTCACCTTCAATGCTTTCACCATCTTCAAAGGTCACAGTCTGAGCAATGATCATTGCCATAATGGCCAGAACTCACTTCTCCATGATCTACAGAAGATGCTCCCTCAGGTTAGATCCTGTTGTCTCTGAGCGTGTACTATCTTGTTGTGTAGGAAATAGGGAATTGAGTTGGTCAGTGTCGTGCAATCGTTTAGGGTGATGCCACAGCCCCAGTGTGTAAAGACCGTGAGGTGTGAGTGTGATGTTTGTTGTGGTGCTGTGCGTGTGTGTGTGTAGCATGATGTAGCATATGGATGACGTGTACGAGTCCTGAATGGTAGTTTGTAGATGAGTAAGAGAGCGACAGTAAAATAAACAGGGTTTGAAGCTATTGACACAGTTAGTTAAGATGTGACATTCACTACCTTTGACCACTTGTGTAGGGTAATTGACCCTCTGCCAACCCTATATCCAGCTTCTTGAAGCTTGAGTTCTGGCACTGACTGCCAAAGCTATCTCACCACCCCCGCCACCACCCAACTGATTCCTGAACATGTGTCTGGCAGGTCTCCTGATCCCTAAAGATGCAAAACTTCTTTCCCCCTTTACACTTCCTTCACTAGGTGTATCAAAGAAGCTTGGAGCATTTACCCAGTCCTTTTCTGCCATTCTCCCCTCGGTCAGATTAAATGACCTGCTCCAGTCACAATGAACCTCCTTTTAAAAGGTCCAGACTGGTTTTAAGTGCTATGGGCTAGCTTCAACCGTGCTTGCCACTTGCAATGTTGTCCTCCTTTTCCAGCTTGCTGCCAATCAACAGTGTGGCCTGCACTGGCTGGACTGTTTAAATGTTTTAAAATAGCAGAGAGCATAAAGTTCATGCATTGTCTGCACTGCTGGTGAGACATGTCAGTTAATGATTAAGCCTGGTTTTAAGGGCTCTTGAATTTAACCCTGCACTGTCTCTCTGCTTCATTGATGAACATTTTTCTCCGTCTGTATAAATAGGATTTCCTCCTTCTTAGCAATGTTCCTGCTTCACGGAAATAGTGTAGAGAAAGAGATTGTTTGGGGATGTTTTACTGAAATCACTGCCAGATATCAAATGCCAAAGACACGATTACATTAGAAGTGAAGGCTCCACAAGGCAGTGCGTGTGTTATTTCCTCCATTTTAACCTTGTACGGTCTGAGTGTCAGCTTCACGCAGTTACTATCGGTCAACGGTTGCTGAATTCCAGCACACTCAAGAACTTGGGAAGGGCAGATTCAGTCAGTGTTCCTGCTTCATTGCATTTTAGTGGAAAATGTGGGAAAATCCATGTGAGAATTTTACAGAAACTAGCCTCGCTGTTCAAATTCATGCATGAAGTATATTGTCATTCTTGTGAGAAAGTTACAGGATTGTGAAATCATGCCCTAGGAATGAGTCATTCTCTTGAGGAGTAAAGAGGAAGAAAAGAAATATTCTTAGGGATTTGGTATTTATTATCCAAGTGTAAACTGCAAGAGGAATGCGTGACTTATCACTAAAACAAGTGTCTGAGCTTTGCAAAATATGCTTCCAACAATTTTATGGTGATAACTGAGCCATTAATTTTAGAAGCAATGATCTGGGCTGAGATTAAGGATGTCTCTGCTTTCTGTTGATTGATTGGTATTGCTATCCTGGGATAGGCACATTACCAACTGTGCAAATTAAGTTGGACAGTAACTTGAGCAATGTATTTCTCAAGCATTAATGCGCCAGTTGTCAGACGGAGAATTTTCAAATGTTCTATTCCAGTCAAATTGAGGCCTTACAAATGAAAGAATTTGCCCAAAACAAAAACGAAACCATTTCTTGTCACCCCAATATTTTAGGTTGGCCAGATCAACTTTGGTTCTGATACCTCTGCTTGGCATCCACGAATTTGTATTCATCTTCCTAACAGACGAGCACATTCAGGGTTTCCTGCGACACATCCGACTCTTTATTCAGCTTGCGATCAGCTCCTTCCAGGTACAAGCGAGATTTCTTCAGTAACACTCTGGGTGTTTATGTAAGTAAGATGGGTGTTAATTCTTTGTCCAGGACTTCAAGGATGACAATGAGCTATAGAGCTCATATTTCAAGCACGATTTCTAGGCTAATCTATATCAAGAGTTACTGCGACTTATTATTTTATTGAGTCTTGGCATTTGAGGCTGGCAGGTTAGGCATGTATTCCCTAACCTGGTTGACAATGAGGTTATAACAGTGGGATTTCCAATTGAACTGTTGTGGCCTTTGTGGTGCTGATGATCCAATGGGTGCCTAGGTGGGATTTTGACTCATGTGATAAGGAAGGAATGGCGAAATATGTTCAAGTCAGGATGGCCTCTGACTTGAAGGGAAACTTCAACCCATGTTGATGTTTCTAAGCAATCATTGCTTTGTCCTCTTGGTGGAACAGGTTCAAGAGCTTGAGGCTGAAGAGGCAAGTTGCTGGCATGTATTATATCGAGAGTTAGCACTGTTTCAGAGATAGTAGGAACTGCAGATGCTGGAGAATCTGAGATAACAAGGTGTAGAGCTGGATGAACACAGCAGGCCAAGCAGCATCAGAGGAGCAGGAAGGCTGACATTTCGGGCCTAGACCCTTCTTCAGAAATGGGGGAGGGGAAGGGGGTTCTGAAATAAATAAGGAGAGAGGGGGAGGGGGGTGGAAAATGGATAGAGGAGAAGATAGGTGGAGAGGAGACACTCAGGTCGAAGAGGAGGGGATGGAGCCAGTAAAGGTGTGTGTAGGTGGGGAGGTAGGGAGGAGATAGGTCAGTCCAGGGAGGACAGACAGGTCAAAGGGGCGGGATGAGGTTAGTAGGTAGGAGATGGGGGTGGGGCTTGAGGTGGGAGGAGGGGATAGGTGGGAGGAAGGACAGGTTAGGGAGGCGGGGACGAGCTGGGCTGGTTTTGGGATGCGGTAGGGTGAGGGGAGATTTTGAAGATTGTGAAGTCCACATTGATACCGTTGGGCTGCAGGGTTCCCAAGCGGAATACGAGTTGCTGTTCCTGCAACCTTCGGGTAGCATGTTGTGGCACTGCAGGAGGCCCAGGATGGACATGTCGTCTGTGGAATGGGAGGGGGAGTTGAAATGGTTCGCGACTGGAGGGTGCAGTTGTTTAGTGCGAACCGAGTGTAGGTGTTCTGCAAAGCGGTCCCCAAGCCTCCGCTTGGTTTCCCCGATGTAGAGGAGGCCACAACGGGTACAGCGGATGCAGTATAACACATTAGCAGATGTGCAGGTGAATATCTGCTTGATGTGGAAAATCTTCTTGGGGCCTAGGATGCGGGTGAGGGGGGAGGTGTAGGGGCAGGTGTAGCACTTCCTGCGGTTGCAGGGAAAAGTGCCGGGTGAGGTGGGGCTGGAGGGGAGTGTGGAGCGGACAAGGGAGTCACGGAAAGAGCGGTCCCTCCGGAAAGCAGATGAGGGTGGGGAGGGAAAAATGTCTTTGGTGGTGGGGTCGGATTGCAGATGGCGGAAGTGTCGGAGGATGATGCGTTGGATCCGGAGGTTGGTGGGGTGGTACGTGAGGACGAGGGGGATTCTTTTTTGGTTGTTGTTGCGCGGAGGGGGTGTGAGGGATGAGTTGCGGGAAATGCAGGAGACACGATCGAGGGCGTTCTCGACCACTGAGGGGGGAAGTTGCGGTCCTTGAAAAACGAGGACATCTGAGATGTACGGGAGTGGAATGCTTCATCCTGGGAGCAGATGCGGCAGAGGTGAAGGAATTGGGAATAGGGGATGGCATTTTTGCAGGAAGGTGGGTGGGAGGAGGTGTATTCTAGGTAGCTGTGGGAGTCGGTGGGCTTGAAATGGATATCGGTTTCTAGGTGGTTGCCAGAGATGGAGACAGAGAGGTCCAAGAAGGAGAGAGAGGTATCAGAGATGGTCCAGGTGAACTTAAGGTTGGGGTGGAATGTGTTGGTGACGTGGATGAGCTGTTCGAGCTCCTCGTGGGAGCACGAGGCAGCGCTGATACAGTCATCAATGTAACGGAGGAAGAGGTGGGGTTTAGGGCCGGTGTAGGTACGGAAGAGGGATTGTTCCACGTAACCTACAAAGAGGCAGGCATAGCTTGGGCCCATGCGGGTGCCCATGGCCACCCCCTTTGTCTGTAGGAAGTGCATCCGCTGTTCCCGTTGTGGCCTCCTCTACATCAGGGAAACCAAGCGGAGGCTTGGGGACCACTTTGCAGAACACCTACGCTCAGTTCGCACTAAACAACTGCACCTCCCAGTCGCGAACCATTTCAACTCCCCCTCCCATTCCGCAGACAACATGTCCATCCTGGGCCTCCTGCAGTGCCACACCGATGCTACCCGAAGGTTGCAGAAACAGCAACTCGTATTCCGCTTGGGAGCCCTGCAGCCCAATGGTATCAATGTGGACTTCACAAGCTTCAAAATCTCCCTTCCCCCTACCGTATCCCAAAACCAGCCCAGCTCGTCCCCACCTCCCTAACCTGTCCTTCCTCCCCCCTATCCCCTCCTCACACCTCAAGCCCCACCCCCATCTCCTACCTACTAACCTCATCCCGCCCCCTTGACCTGTCCGTCCTCCCTGGACTGACCTATCTCCTCCCTACCTCCCCACCTACACTCACCTTTACTGGCTCCATCCCCGCCTCTTTGACCTGTCAGTCTCCTCTCCACCTATCTTCTCCTCTATCCATCTTCTATCCGCCTCCCCCTCTCTCCCTATTTATTTCAGAACCCCTTTCCCCTCCCCCATTTCTGAAGAAGGGTCTAGGCCCGAAATGTCAGCCTTCCTGCTCCTCTGATGCTGCTTGGCCTGCTGTGTTCATCCAGCTTTACACCTTGTTATCTAAGAGTTAGCACTGCACTTCTTTTACAGTGGAGGCGGTTGACATTTAGGCTTTAATCTCAAAAGAGGAGTTAAATTGTTCAGACACAGTAGTTCTTCAGCTTTGGCATAACGTAGTGGTCTTAAGCACAAAAGCAAAAATTGTAAGTCATAATGTTGACTGCAAAAGGATGTAATAATTCATTAAGCGTGTACCAGGAACATAATAAGTGCAATTGTTTTTAGAAATTTGTTAAAACTCAACTGGTTCACTCATGTCCATGCCCCGCCACCCTGTTCTGATTTAACCAATGTGCATCTTTAGTTTTACATTATGCTGTTGCCTCTTGACGCTTTCTAAAGCAGCCTGGCCAGCCACTTAGTTGTAAAAGCAGCTAGGAAGGCATCCTTGCTCACAACGCCTACATCCTAAGAACAAATATTCAGAAAAGCTTTGATCATCTCTCTGCACCTACATGGAAAAATATGTGAAAAAAACTGCAGACACAATGCAACCCAAATATGCTGGTAGAATATTCTCCCTTGAATGACATTAACCAGCAGGATCCATTTATGGAAGAAATATATTAACACTGGTATATTAATTTGATTGACCATATCCTTTCTGCATGTTATTGCAGTGGTACATTACCAAGTGAACAACATGATATTAAGTAGACAACATTTGGCAAGGAGAAACTCACTAAAAATTAGATCAAAAGACTGAAGCTGTCATTTCTTTTTAATTCTGACACAAATCAGATCTCTGATACTTGATTATATTCTTAGGTATAAAAATAAACTGAACCGTAGGGAGGGTCCATATTGGTATTATCTCAGTCACAGATTGTCTGTGGGCTGAGGAAATCCAGAGGGAGTAGTAAAAAATCAAAATGAATCATACTGATAAAAATAGTCAGTGCAATCAACTGTCACTATATCAGGCCAACAGCAGCATCCAGTTACATTTCCTAATTTCATATGCCTAAATTGAGTTCCTCACTTCAGCCAAGCAGTGAAAGAATGTGGAAACACATTAAGGAAATATAGACATTGTATGGAAACTATTGCCTCTGAGAGCAGTGATGGTCAGCCCTTCATATAAATATCTTGAATGTGTCTATCTCACTTAGGAAATCACAATTCAACAACATTTCATTTTAAAAGAAAGGCAATAGCATATCATTTTTCTAACCTAGAGTGATCTTGTTATGAACATCAGTCTCTCCGCAAAGATCTCTCATCGAAACCTCAAGTGATTTTTGAACCTACTTAATTTAAGATTAAGGATCAGTCAACATTGTCTTTCTTTGGTAGTTAAAGGTAAAACAAGGGGTTAATGTATTGCCTGGCCATACCTCACTGGGACATGCATTTAAACAGGAGCTTTCATATCCTTAGGATGACATAAAGTGTTCCCCAACCAATTGAAACAGTGACCTTGATAACAACAGAAGGTCCCACAAACAGCAATTGCTAAGTGATTGGATAGAACATAGAACATTACAGCGCAGTACAGGCCCTTCGGCCCTCGATGTTGCACCGACCTGTGAAACCAATCTGAAGCCCATCTAACCTACACTATTCCATTATCATCCATATGTTTATCCAATGACCATTTAAATGCCCTTAAAGTTGGCGAGTCTACTATTTTTGCAGGCAGGGCATTCCACGCCCTTACTACTCTCTGAATAAAGAACCTACCTCTGACATCTGTCCTATATCTATCACCCCTCAATTTAAAGCTATGTCCCCTTGTGCTAACCACCACCATCTGAGGAAAAAGGCTCCCACTGTCCACCCTCTGATCATCTTGTATGTCTCTATTAAGTCACCTCTTAACCTTCTTCTCTCTAATATATATTAGTGGAGTTAATGGAGGATAATTGATGGACCCTGGGCAAACTCTGCTGTTCTTCACAGCACTCCCGATTGTGCAGCACTTAGGATCTAAAAGCAAGAGTAATACCATATGACCCAATCCTAACACATCCAATTTCATTTTAAATTAGCTGTATTCGCGGCATTGTTCAACTTATGAAGTCTTTTGAGACTTGAGAGAAGTATCAGTTGTACCTTCACTTTCATTCAAGCTCTTTCCAGCATTTCCACAACAGGTTGAAACTGGTTGGGCTGTCATTCCCTTAATAAGAAGATTATGTTTGATCACTGACTTAAAATTGTCATCATTGTGAACATATTTGACTCATGAATCTTGCAGCAAAGCATCGTCATTGAGTTTTTACAAACAGACTTAGGAGCACTCAATTGCTGCTGAATGATATAGGTCACTTATTGAACCCACTGCTGATAACCCTTTCAAACTGAGCAAAAGATTATTTCTGTCAGCGATAGATAATACCACTGTATATGCAGACTGTAAAAGTTTCAACGTTATAGTTATTTCAATATCAATGTAAGATAAAACAAAAACTTTGGAAAACTTCCTTAATCATGGTTGATTTTTTTTTTACAAAAAAGTGGGAGTACAATGGAATGTGATTGCAGCGCAAGCCTGTTACAATAAAATATATCCTTGGTCGACCAATTTTTGAAAATTTGATTTTGGTTATATGGTTACATTTATTGCATATCTCTAGTTGCCCTGGAATGGAAGTTCTCTGAAGTTTTAAGGGACTGTATAAGTTGGTGAACTGTACAGGAGCAAATTTTTTTTTAATATAACAAATTTGAGAAAAACTGTATTTCATTATTTTCTATACTATATCTACACCTAATTGACTAATCTATGCCAAATCCACTGCAGCTTTAGTGCACTGTTAAGTGGAAAATCTCTGGCAATGATTCAAAGGACAACAATAGTCTTTTCTTCCTCTGCAGGGTTTTCTGGTGGCCTTGCTATACTGCTTTGTCAATGGAGAGGTAAGGAACTGATTGAATATAGTCTCATTGTACAAATGTCTCCATGATAGTGGTGTGCTTATTGTGATGATAATCTTTGTGTCAACAGTGAACCAGGGATACTTCAGGTTGGATAGTTTGGAACATTTTTGCAACTTACCATAAATAGATCTGTTGTTGCACTTGCTTGAAAATATACCAAATGGCACAAATACCTTATAAAAACCAAAAGCACTGCAGATGCTGTAAATCAGTAACAAAAACAGAAATTGCTGATAAAGCTCAGTAGGAAGTGTCATTCGACTCAAAATGTTAACTCTCTTTTTCTCTCCACAGACGTTGCCAGACCTGCTGAGCTTTTCCAGCAATTTCTGTTTTTGTGGCATAAATAAATGATAGCTTTATCTGATTTATCAGTGGTTTTATTTGTTTCAGTGGTTTTATTTGTTGATTTTAATATAAGACCACCATTCATTTTTACAGTATTTATACTGTCTGCAATTTCAGCCTGAGAACAAAATAAAGCTGGACCGTTTTTGTACGAATGTACCTGCCTGTCTCTCCCTGTTTGTCTTTGTGTCTATCTGCATGTCTTGTGCAAGTGCTCCCTCTGGTGGACTGAGCTTATTATGTGTAACATACCATATACAACGTAAACTTTTCCACAGGCAGAATTTTGCTTCCAGCAGCAAGCATGCATCGCCAGTTAGTCATTACACTCTCACATTCCAACACAGTTTCTGTACAATTGCAGTCAGCCTGCTCTCTGATACTGCACCTTTCAACGTTCTTTATGCCTTCACTCGCTCACTGCACTGATTTCCGAAGTTAAGATGAAAGTAACCTGTGGGTGCTGAGGATCTGAAACAGAAACTGAAAGTGCTGGAGAAGCTCAGCAGATCTGGCAGCATCTGTGGAGAGAGAAACAGAGTTGACGTTTCAAGTCCAGTGTGGGGTCTTCAGAACTTCAGATATTCTGGAGAAGATTCATTCTGGACTTGAAACATTACATCTTTCTCTATCTCCACAGATGCTACTAAACATGTTGAGTTGTTACAGTTTATATTTCTGAACTGAAGAGTCCACCCAACCAAGATCAATTTTATACAGCCATGGAACCTTGATTTTATTCTTGAATGTGTCCTACAGTTCCCTCTTTATTCCTCTGTAACCATCAGGATGTATGTTTTCTAAGAATCTTTTATCACTTTCATTTCCTTCACTGTTCTATTGACATATTTTTTTTGCAATATCTCTGAACTAGGCCATCTCTCCTTTAGTGAGTGCTGAATCTGTGAACATAGCTCATTCCGTCTCAGTACCTTCCATGGAATTGTATGCAATACCTCTAATTAGTATTAGCAGAGTTCTATTCTCAATCTGCTGGCAAATCTGTTGTGAAGTATGCAGACTGTTTAACTCGTTGCTTAACTTGCACACCTCTCTTTGCACTCAGTGACAGCAACGTTGGTGAAATCAATGTGGTCATTTCCTCAGCCACATTATCTTGGGATTACTTCTTACTTGGCCTGATCTCTGTCCCTGTCAGTGAGGATTCTCTCTGGGAAGATAAGGAAACTAAATGTTCTACTTGAAATTGTGTCTTCTCAGCATCTGACATCAGGATTAAATCTGCAAACACTGTTTGTTCCTCAAGCTATGTTGCACTTTGAGGTATATCAGTTAAGGATTTATCAGTTACTTCAGTTGGGATATACTGCTCCTTTGATATATGATTGTATGCATCTTATTGTTTCGGCAGACAATGGTGTAGTGGTATTGTTGCTGGTCTAGGAATTCAGAGAATCAGGTATTGTTCTGGGGACCCAATTTCGAATCCCACCATAGCAGACAGCAGAGGTGAGTTCACAGAATCATAGAATTTTACAGTACAGAAGGAGACCATTCGACCCATCTTGCCTGTAGCAGCTTCTGAAACAGCGACCTAGCTAATCCCACTCTTCAACCTTATCTCCATAGTCTTCTAACTTCATCCCTTTCAAATATTTATATAAATTCAATAAAAAATTGGAACGAAAAGTTAAATAATCACCACGAACCCATTGTCGATTTGCTGTAGGAGCCCATTTAGTTCATAAATGCTCTTTGGGGCAGTAAAACTGCCATCCCTACCTCGTCTGACCTATATGTGACTTGATGTAGTTGACTCACAACTGCCTTCTGAACTGGCCTAGTAAGCCATTTCTGTAAATCAAAACTGCTAGAAGGAAGCACATCATCGCCTTCTCAAGGGCAACTAAAGATAGGTGATATATTCTGATCCAGCCAGTGATACCCACATTTCATGAATGAATTTAAAGAAATGTTTGCCATCCGAATTCTGTTCCTTGTTGATAGCAATGGAAAGACATTCTGCCAATCTAGTATTGTCATCTTGCTGACAATAAGCAACAGATTTACAACATAGATAACAAGGTGTAGCGCTGGATGAACACCGCAGGCCAAGCAGCATCAGAGGAGCAGGAAAGCTGACGTTTCGGGCCTAGACCCTTGTTCAGAAAATTTCTAACACCAAGGAAATTAAATACAATGATTTCTGTCCTCTGTTTGGCTTTCACCCTGAGTCTAGGGAGCTCAATGAAATTTTCTCGTGAGAGCTAAGAACAAAGAGAAGTACAGCACAGGAACAAGCCCTTCGGCCCTCCAGGCCTGTGCCAATGATCATGCCCCAACTAAACTAAAAAAACAAACCTTCTGCCCTTATTCGGTCCATATCCCTCCATTCCGTCCCTATTCATGTAACCATTCGGACGCCTCTTAAATGTTGCCAACGTGCCTGCTTCCACCACCTCCTCTGGCAGTGCATTCCAGGCTCCTACCACTCTGTGTGAAAAACCTCCCTCGCACACCTCCCTTAAACTTTTGCCCTCTCACCTCGAACCTGTGTCCCCTTGTAATTGAAACTTCAACCACAGGAAAAAGCCTCTGATTATCCACCCTATCTGTGCCTCTCATAATTTTGTAGACCTCTCTCAGGTCTCCTCTCAGCCACCGTCTTTCCAGTGAAAACACCCCTAGTCTTTTTAACCTTTCCTTATAGCCAATGCCCTCGAGACTGGGCAACATCCTTCTAAGCAGTCTTTCCAAAGCTTCCACGTCCTTCTGGTAATGTGACGACCAAAACTGCACACAATACTCCAATTGCGGCCTAACAAGGGTTTTATATAGCTAGAACAAGTTTTGCCAAATCTTGTACTCCATGCCCCGGCCAATGAAGGTAAGCATGCCATATGCCTTCTTAGTCACCTTCGCCACCTGTGTTGCCACTTTTAGGGAACTGTGGACCTGTACGCCCAGATTCATCTGTATGTTAATGTTCCTAAGGGTTCTGCTATTAACAGTACAATTCACACCTAAATTTGATCCTCCAAAATGCATCACCTCACATTTGTCAGAATGAAACTCCAACTGCCATTTCTGTGCCCAAGTCACCAATCTATCTATATCCTGTTGTATCCTTTCACAATTGTCGGCACTATTAGCAACTCCACCAACCTTTGTGTCATCTGCAAACTTACTAATCAGACCACCCACATTTTCCTCCAGATCATTTATATGTACTGCAAACAACAGAGGACCTAAGACTGATCTCTGTGGAACACCACTAGTTACCGGTCTGCATTCTGAAAAACACCCTTCCACCACTATCCTCTGTCTTTTATGACCAAGCCAGTTTTGTATCCATCTAGCCAGCCCACTCTGAATCCCATGTGATTTTAGTTTTTGTACCAATCTGCATGTGGGACTTTATCAAATGCCTTACTAAAGTCCATCTAGACTACACCCACAGCTGTTCCCTCATCAATTATCTTTGTCACTTCTTCAAAAAATTCAAACAGGTTAGTGAGACATGACCTTCCCCATACGAAACCATGCTGCCTGTCCATTTTCTTCCAAATGTGCATATATCCTGTCTCTCAGTATCTTCTCCAAGAGCTTCCCCACCACAGATGTCAGACTCACCGGCCTATAATTTCCTGGATTATCCCTGCTTCCTTTCTTAAACAAGTGAACAACATTGGCTAACCTCCAGTCCTCTGGAACCTTGCCTGTGGTCAAGGAGGATGTGAAGATATCTGCTCATGCCCCAGCTATTTCTTCCCTTGCCTTTCTCAGTGGTTGTCCTTTGTCCAATTATTCCAAAACTGGCTGTTCAGTAACCAAATGCTCGTTGGCTTGTTATTCCATGACTTTAATTAAATTGACTTCTTCCACCATTGGAGAAAGATTCAAATCAAAACATATTAATATGTTGCTAAATACCTCGGGGGTAATGGTAACAGGGTTAACATGTGCAGTAACTTAGTCAATCATATTCAATTGTGTATGAACCAGAGTCAGCCAGATGTTGGCTGAGTTTTATAGTACAGGATTGGTTGACATAAAACTGTAACTATAGAGTGTACATCTAAAAGTATCTAACTTCTAGTGAACATCATTGGTAGCAGAGGATGCAGAATTAGAATGTAAAGATTCAGGGTGTGATTACCTGTTTTCTGAGCGCATTCCTGATGATTAGTGGAAGAATGTGGTAACCAAGTGAACTTGACTTATTTCTCTTCCAAAGTGGAAACAAGGGATGTACTTTGCACTATACAGAAGCAGCATTTTAAAAAAACAAAGTTTTTATTTGGAATTGATGTCTGATGATATGAACATGGATGTAAATTTGGAGAGATTGTTTACTTCCATGGGTAAAATTGATTGAATGGATGATTTATTGACTGGTTATGAGGCATGGTCAGATTTTGACAAATTTAGAAACAGTGAACATAGTTTCGTGGAAGGATATATAATGGAATTCAGTAGGTTGTATGCAAGAATGCAGAAATTTAATTTGGCAATATTCCAGTCTGTTGTGGCATTTAAGTTATTTGACTGTGCCAAAGGATCGAGTATGGATGGACTATTTGTTCTGGCAGGAGTTAACTTTATAGATAAGCTTACACAATCAGAAAAAAATGTCAGAAGCTTTAAAAACTTTGCTTGGGAAGGATTCT